CTGACCTAAACACCCAGTTAGTCAGCAACCCTGCAAAAAATTACCGACATTTTAGCCACCACACCCATTGCTTGAACTTTCCTTGGTATTTTACTGCATTCAAATCTCCTCTAACTGGGTCCCAATCAAACTTGAAATATGCTCAAAACATGCTTTCATTAGGTCTTTTTTTTTTTTTTTTTACTATACTATACTAATATTATCCTCAGAAAATGGCTTTTCTAAGACTTTTCTAAGTTTATTTTTAGTAAGCCGCTGGAATAGGAAACCACCATACTGACGCCTCCTGCAGGCAGAGCTAATCTTCTCTGTTTGCATCACCTAACAAATAAGGGGTTTCTTTAGTTTGAACCATGACCTGGAGCCCAAAGCCCACTCTTGTAGTTTATTTCCTGTAGTTTGTTTTCCTTCTGCAAGTCATTCAAAGGAGTACATATTAGCTATTTAGAATCCAAAAATGAATTTGCTACCATGTGAGAATTATTGGATGTTGAACTTTTTAATTTTTCAAACGGTTTTATCTGCCCCCCAAAAAACAAATTATAATCAGCAAGTTTCTGGGTAAGCAAAGAACTAGAAGAAAGGTACCTGGATGTTCAGGGCACCTTCTTTTGGACCGCAGGTCTGTAATCGGATTGTTTGTATTCCTTGATTTCATTACATATTATAAATTCATGCATTTCCAACTTAGTATTAATCCATTTATTTATTCATTAAAAATGTAACTTCATTTCTAATTTGTAACAATTATGTTCCTTCCTGATTTCTAAAATTTGAGATGAAATTGGCATACTGTGAAATGCACACATCTTAAATGTGTAGGTTGCTGGGTTTGACAAATGTAGAAATCTGTGTAACCATTATGTCAGTCAAGATACTGAATAGGAATTCCCTCAGTTTCTCCTTTAATTATTCACCACTTCCTACAAGTAACTATTGTTCTGCTTTCTATCACCACAGATTGCCTGTTCTTGAATTTCATCGGAAAGGACTCATACAGTACAAAGTTGTTTATGTCTGGCGTCTTTTGTTCAACATAACGTTGCATTATCAGTAATTCAGTCTTTTTTATTGTGGAGTGATGGTCCATTGTATTAGAGTAACATGCCATTGTATTAAGTGGGTGAGAACACCCAGGGGAAATCTTTCCTCTCAAATGCTTTTGAGGCTATAGGAAAATCTTCTGAGAACATGGGCTTTTTCTGAAGCCTTTTTGTTTAGCCTTTCCATTTTAAAAAATACTTTTACCTAGCCATGAAAATTGATACAGCTTTGCCAACAACAGATGCTCATTAAATTAGGTTTCCCCTACAATAACTCAAGCCATGGGCAAGTCAGAATTTTAACAAATACAGGAATTCTGTTCTTCGTATTAGTACTTCACTACTTCAGGACGCTGTGCTCATTTTCCTGTGTAGTCCTTTAAAGCCCATTTGGAATTTATTGAGACTCACTTTGTGGCCTTGCATGCATGGCCTCATGGTGAATGTGACATTGGGACTTGGAAAGAATGTATACTGGAATGTGTACTGGTGTTCTGTTCCATAAACTGAATTAGATCAAAATGGTTAACTGTGTTGTTCAAATCCTCTTTGTTATTTTTGGATTATGTTCCTACCTTGTCTGCCATTCAAAAGAAGGTTGAAAAGGAAGAAAAAAATGACAGATGAGACAACAGAAAAAAGAAAATTGCAGGACAGGAGACTTTTATCTAACCGTATCAACAATCACATTAAATGTAAATGGACTTCATTAGTGTTGTTCTCCCTTAATTATGTTGGTTTTTATCTTGTGTCGGAAGCTCGTGTATTAGTCATGGAAACATTTGTTAGTGTGACTTACTGATGTATTATTGACTCTTATGGTTATAAAATATCTTTCTTTCCCTTAATACGTCTTGATTGGAATCCATTTTTCTTATGTTAATATATCCCACAGGTGAAAAGATTGCTAGCGTGATGCTCAGTCCTGGCCCCCTTCACTCAAGCTCCGCCTCTTTGGCCGTGCTCCACTCGCTTCAGAATTGTTTCATATTTTATCCAGTGTTTGGTATTGCTATTTGTGCAGTGAGAAATCTATTCTACCATTATCTGAAATGGAATTCCCATTGACATTTTTAATAATGTAAGAAGCCCTTTCAAATCCATTACCTGACTCAAAAACTTGACAGTAACCTTCCTTTAACTGGGTCATTTTTCCTCTCCGCCTATCCCTCTCTGCCTCTGACTTGAGGTAGCCGTTATTCCTGAATTTCATATTATCATTTTTTTCCTTTTGTATAGTTATATCAAATCTCTATATATTTAAATATGTGTGTGTGTGTGTGTGTGTGTGTATATATATATATATATATTTAACTTTATAGAAAGTTTTGCCCAATTTATTGGAGATATATTTTTATTATATTGCATTGATCCATACTGCATATATATTGCCTTAGTTTGTTCTGACTGCTATATGTAATTCCATTGTGAATATACCGGCTTTTCATCTCTCCTTTGCTGGGCTTTGGGATTGTTGCCACATTTTTGCCCTTGTGCAGGGTCCTACAAGGAACATTTGTATATTTCTCATGACTATATACCTTGGAGTAAATATTGTGAGATGAAAATGAATGCTTAACTTTAGATGATAATACCAAACTGTTATTCAAAGTGATTAAACCATTTTACATTCCACCACCATTCTTTAAGAGATTCTGTAAGCCCATATCCTCTACAATATTTAGAAGTACGAAATTTAGGGGCATTAAGCATCTCTTCATATTTTTATTGGTTGTAAGTTTTTTTACTGTAAGTCTGTTCATGTCCTTACCACTTCTACTTTTTTATTGATTTGTAGGAATTCTACGCTTTGGATACCACTGAACTAGACTACCTGTAATTTAACTGCCTTTAATCTCATAAGGAGCTCTTTGGCCTTTGAATCGGCCATTCTCCCTCACCACCCTGTGTAATTTGCAAACCCTTCCAAACTCCTGACCCCCTCATCCTGCTCCAGTTTTCCCCCTTGGTACCTACCACCTTTGCCGTATTGTACACATACTTACTAACTATGTTTACTGTTTGTCTTCTCCTTCCTCCTACATGCAGGCTGCTAACTGATAAATATAGAGATTGAGAGTAAGCATTATAAACTTTGAAGCAATTCAATATTATCATCATATTTTTATTATACTAAACAAAAGATTGATCTCTAACAAATTGGAAATTTAAAAAAAATTTGTTCTTTGCCACATTGAAAAGCGTGGTCTAGGTTCTTATATGTCCATGTTACAGCATTTGAAAACAGAGTGGAAAAGAAATATATAATGAACCCGTCATACGTGAAATAGTGGCTGACAAAGATGAACATTTGTTTTTCTAATTAAGTGAGGTGGTATGATCAGAGTTTTTCTAATATGAGCATTACTTTGTTTTATTAGCCTTCCCCATGTTTATAGCTGAGCCTGGCATGTGTCTCTTGTTTTACTTACATATATATATATATATATATTGTGGTATCTAGAACTCTTTGAAGTGCTGCTTTTAAAATGAAAGGGAATGTAAGCCACATAATTTATGAAATTCAGGGACTGCACACTCCTTGGCTTAATCCTTTATGTTCTCAGTTGTCACGTTTTGAGTTTTCCAGCCTGAAGTGTGATTATTAAATGTATGTCCCCTTCTCTGGATTGTGCACTTGCTGAATGTGCAAGAGAGTTTTTGAGAACAGCCTAAATTCAAAACCTAGCTTGTTAACCTGCTGATTTCTGGGTGACTGTAAACATGTGCCTTGGGTATTTTTGTGCTGTAGTTTTTCCACATAAAATGGTAGTGATACTTTACACCTTCTGAAGTAAGTAAAGTTTTGGGAAATCTTAGATGAAATCTATAAAGCTGTAAAATCAAAGGAATATTTCACAGTGATTATATGGCATTTTATTAGAATGAATGCAGAGCCGAGAACTGATCCAAGAAGCTGTTCATCAGAACTGTAGATTTGTTTGTAAAAACAGACTGCTAAGTGAGATCTGCCTGCTTGGAAAGATGGGGCAGAGTTTTCTAATGAACAGCACACCCTGTACGTCCCAAGTATTGGCTACACTACAGTATATGCAAAGCAGCAAGAGATTTAGGCCTGCTGAGAGAATTTACCTGGGTGCTTAGTCTGGTACCTGAACTGTACTGATTAATATTGAAAATCACATGATCTTGACTTTTTCATGTTAATAACCAGCTTTTTTTTTGCAAGGATAACTTCAGCATAGTTTTTCACAGGTCAAAGATTAACTAGATTGTGACACAATTTCAATACAATCCTGTCTTTCAGAAATACTGTAGTGGAAGTCAGACAGACCTAGATTAAAATCTGGTCTTTGTTATATTTACTTTCTGTGTTTCCATGCAAAAATTAAAAAAACAACCAATTCTGATGTCATTTATATAATGGAGACACATTCATCCATTGTCATGATTAAGGATTATGGATAATGTGTGTAATTTATAAGGACCACTGTAGGCACTCAATACATGGTAGCTATTGTTTGTTATGTTACAAAATTCTAGTAGGTGTGTGTGTTCATTGTCAATGTTAGTAAATCGTTAAACAAGTGTTGCAGGAAAAAAAAAAAAGAGAAAAGGCACAATTAAAAGGGCAGAGATTGGGTGGGGCTGGTGCAGGGAGAGATTCTTGTCCGCCCAGCCATCCTTGATGCCCTCCACAGCAGCCTAGAAGCTCTGTGGGGCACAGCCTGGAGCCCGCGTCCTGCATGTCACACACCTTGGGCGCAGGAACTGAAGCTCACTGGGTGACCGACACAGGTACAGTCTGCGGCCTTGCAGTGCGGTAGGCGTTGGCCCCAGCTTGTTAAATGATTCAGTTCCTTCAGCTCCTCTACTTCAGAAATTCTCGCTCCGTATTGACTGCCAGTAGAGTTATGATTTGAAGTTTAATTATTAAACCTGCCAGGAAACAGGTGTTATTTAAAGGATGTAATGACGGCATCATTATTTTTTCAGATCTGGGTTGGAATTTGCCCTTGACAAATAACAAAATGATGAGTGATGCAAGTGACATGTTGGCCGCGGCGCTGGAGCAGATGGATGGCATCATAGCAGGTGATCCGCCCCTCCGAGGGACGCAGTCGTGACATTCACTCGGCTCTCCTGGCTGTCTCACTGCGACTCTTTCCTTCCCTTTCCACTAACTCGTTTCCGTTTAATTGTCTTCCTTGAGGTCCCCTCTGGTTTCATCTTTGTCCCTCCTCTCCATTTTCAACTAGAATTATTCTTATGTTTTATTTTAAAATGTCAAAAATTCCATTCCCACCCTCGGTATCTGATTAGGGATAGAGAATCTGCATGTCAGGTGGTCCTGGGGCAGGTAGTCTGTGGAGCGCTTGGAAGGGTTATTGCTCCACCCACCATCCATGAAAGTTCTGATGGGTTCCAGAATTCAGTATTCACTTTCCACCAGTGACTCTCACATCTGTTTACTTGCCCAATTCTCTGCTAAGCGTCGAGCCTCTATATTTAACTGCCAGTCAGAGATCTACCATAGCCTGTGGACACATCAGTGTCATCATTTCAGACACTGAGCTCATCATCTTTCCTCAGAAGCCCCTCTAGTGTTCTTTGTCTTGACTAATTTCATAACCAAAGGAGGTCAGAGATTCTTCTCTTGAGGGAAGGGGCATGTCATGTTTGGCTCTGGCTTCCTTTGCTATACTTACGGCTCTGGAGACCCGACTTCAACTTGACCTCCTTGGTAGGTTAGACCACACCTTGAGTACTGTCCTCGGTTCCTGGAATATCATTTTCAAAAAGCTGCTGGCAAGCTGAAACTTACCTAGAGGAGGTGATGATGAGGGCAAAGAGTTTAACAACCGTGTCTGGTGAGAAATTGGTTCAGCTTAGCCTAGAAAAAGGGATTCTTGCTTGGGGCATGACACATGCTTGCAAATAGCTGAAGGACTCTCATATGGAAGAGGGGCTGGGCCTACTCTGCCACCATTTCAGAAAATATAACTAGAGCCAGTTCTAGGCTCTTACTTACCAGAGGTTATAACCTCACACTCTCAGTAAAACTCCAGTCAAGAGAAGTGATATTTCTGGAACAGTAGTGGAAGGATTTACATTTTATATATTCCAATACATTTTGTTTGTTCTTAGCCCTGGCAGGACTTCAGGACCAACATTATTTTTAAAAAAAATCAGGATTCCCTGGGTCCTGCCTCAAACTAACTCAGTCACTAGCTTTGTGGGTAGGACCTGGGTCTGTGTTTACAAATTCACATCAGTGTTTCTCCAACTGAGGCAGGAGGGAGAGGAGAAATGACTGTAACTATTTGAGGAATTTCTCTAAATACATATCTCTCCCCTCTCCCCACCTTATTTTGTGGCAGACTTAACAGAAGGGAGGGTTATCAGGGGCACGTACATTTTCTAATCATATCATCAGGTGATCCTGATGCTTGAAACTGCTGGGAAGGACATTATAGCCTCTCTGACTTTTAATGCTCTTCTGTTCCTCCCTTTTCCTGACATAATCTCCTCAATTTATGTTTCTGGGTTCTCATCTCAGCCTTACAGGGTTTCTGAGGGGATTGAATCCGAGTTACGTGAAGCATTTTTGCATTGTGCCTAGCTTATCAATGGTTACCGTTATTATGGTTTGGTAGATTTGGATCCAAAATAATTTCATGAAGTATTAGGAGGGTCAGTGGAATAGATGGACTGGAAGAGAATTCCTCTCCCCGTTGGAACTGATCAAGCCAGATGGCCATCTGGGGAGAGAGCTTACACACCAGTGTGCAGGCTTCTTCCAATTGTAGGGCCTTCAGATTAATGAGGTGATAGCTTAAATATAATTATTAGTATGTTGATATCATTGATAATTTTTAATATAAAGTTAGTATGTATACTTGACAGACCAGAAAATAAAAAAAAGCTAAAGAGGTACATTTGAATGGGTATGGGTCAGTTGCGTGGCTTAAAGTTGTAGAATGCTTTCTCTTGTAAGATAAATAAAAGTGCTATAAGATATTTTTAAAGCTGATGTTAGCAACAGCATTTGATGCTGGCCTGGAAACAAAATCGTGGGGGAAAGAGGGTCAGGGATACACAGACATGCTCACGCATAATATACAAATGTGTACATGTAAATTCATGGAGATTAAATTGTGGCAAATTAACTGGGAACTGGCCCTCCCACCTTTGAAACTGTACTATGCAATTTCTACCTCAGTGTGCAAATTCCCTTTACAGGGAATTTACGGTCCTTAAAATTTGCATTTTTGGAATACACAGCCCCACCAAAACTGATCTGCTACCTTCTTAGCCCTCATTTCCATGAGGTCTGCGCATCCCACTCCAAAGCCGACCATATTCTTACTATACCACACGCCTGGCCTCCCTCTTTGGTATTTGACCGTTGATATTTACCATCAGTTATATGGTTTTTATTCTTGCACTAAGTAACTATGACTTAGAAAGATGTACACACTCGCGCTATTATTTTTCCCCTGTTCCGTGTCTTGGTTATTCTTCACTGTGACTGGACTTGCTTGCCACCCTCAGTTTTGCAGTATAATCTAACATAAATCCCATTGCTCTCTCTGTGATTTTGTTTTTGTTTTGTTTTTAAACCTAGGTTCAAAGGCCCTAGAATATTCCAATGGGATTTTTGATTGCCAGTCTCCCACCTCCCCGTTCATGGGGAGCTTGCGGGCCCTGCACCTCGTGGAAGACTTGCGTGGGCTGCTGGAGATGATGGAGACGGAGGAGAAGGAAGGCTTGCGATCCCAGATCCCGGATTCCACGGCAGAAACGCTCACCGAGTGGCTGCAGAGTCAAATGGTAAATAAAGGTCTGCGTGTCACAGAGCCCGCGCTGTGACTCTTGTGTGGCTTCTTCCAAAATTCAGAACATAGAATAGCTGATTAGAACAAGAAAAAGAAAAAAAGTAGGGCAACAGGTTTGCTCTGATTTTACCCCTGAAGAGATCCAGTTCCCTTTGACTCTAAAGATAATTTCTTAAGTGCTTCCAGTTGACATTTCATGAGTTCCAGGTCACCTGGTTTTGCCCATAAAAGTGGAGTAGCTTTTAGATTATGCAGGTATAACTTGCTGTGGCTTAAAACAAATAGTCCTGTAAGTGTAAGACCCTCTCACATAATAGATGCTTTCTCAGTGATATTGGGAGGTTTACTATGAAAGGACCCAACAGCAATTCTAAATGGGTAGTGCAATGAATAGACGCTTCAAAAAGCAACAGGGGCTTGTAGCCGTTTTTGACACGACGCGCCATCTGGTGGTGTGTGGCCGTCATTTCAGTTCTGATGTGGGAGCTGAGCTCTGGAGTTGAGCTTCAAAAATGGTGTTCTTACTGAACAATGTGGCCTCTTTCCAGGCATCCGTCTCAAAAATTGGTGGTGTGCAGGTTTGCTCTTTCCATGAGCACAGTGGTAAATACCACGATTTGAGATGTGTTGGACACATGAAACCTAAAGGATCTCACAAAAATACTCAAAGGTGCAGATAGAAAAGTGGGTATTTTAGAAGTATTTAAAGAATACTCAGTTTTCAGGAAGATGCGTTTAACAAGCTTACTAACTGATAATGTTTATATAAAAGCTAGTGAAAATTGTGTGAAAGGCTCAAGATGTGTTTTTGGGTCTGTGGTGGGAATGGAAGCTCTTCCCTTTGGGAACCTCAGTGGCACATCCTACAGCGAAAACGATTTCACGTGATGTGACGCAAATACTGGCATTCCCACCCAGTTCCATGCTGAATGTTCTTTGTCCCCTGCCAGTATCCCTCCCCACTTCTGAGTGCAAGCCCTCTTTCAGTGGTGGTGCAGCTATCCAGCCTTGGTAATTAGAGATATTTTGCTTTTTATTGTACATGATGCCTCCTTAGTGTACTTAATATCTGCTCTGCAAGTTTCTCCTCTCAAGATTGAAGCATCCAGCTTCCCTGAATTCTTTGGGGAAGTCTCCGAATTCTTGCTCTGAAATGAGTGTATTCCTTAGACTCTTCTACTTCCTCACCCCTTCTTTACTCCTTATTTTTCTGACTGTTCAGCGAATAGTGGGAAAGGAATAGCTTAAGGATACCTGCGGTTGAAATTTTACTGGTGTCCAAAACATTTTTTATGAATATGTCCTTGGTCTGTTCTGTTTAACTATTTCTTTGGAAAAGAGTAAAAGTAATGATGATCTGCAAACATCAGTTGTGCCATTTGCTGGTCTTACAGGAGCTTCTGATGACAGCCACATATCCCTCAGGGTAGAAGCCCAAGTTCTTACTGTGGACCGTATGACCTTTGTAGGAGTTGCTCCTCATTACTGTCTGACCTCACGTCTCATGACACTGCCCCTCGTTAACTCCACTCCAGCCAGGCGCACTGGCTTCCTCGCCGATTCTCGGACGTGCTGGGCAAGCCGGCCTCAGGACCTTTGCGCTGGCTGTTCACCCTGCCTGGAAAGCTCTTTCCCCTGATATCTGTATGGCTAGCTTTCTTATATTCTCTGGTATTTGCTTTAAAAGTTGTGTTCTCAGTGAGGCCTTCCCTGGCCACCATATCTAAAAATTCACATTCTCATTGTTTGTATTACATCTCCCGGCTTAATTTTTTCTTATCACTCACTGCATTCTTACATACTATGTATTTGCCATATTTATATCTTTTGTTTTCTGTCTCTCTAGCCAGAATATAAACATCACGAATCAGAGTTTGGCCTGTATTAAAAAAAAAACACCATATCCACAGTTCCTAGAGCAATACTTGGCATATGGCGCTCATCAGCTTATAGTGAACAATAAAATGGAACGCACATTAGGATGAACTGGAGTTGTTTGATGTGTTAAATTTATTCCTTGGATGGATGATGGCTTGCTGATCTGTTTTTGTCTGCTCTCTATCTTAATATTTGAAATTTTTAAGTTCTCACAAAATGACAATGGATAGAGGGTCTTATACTTACAATGTAATGATTTGCTGATAATAGCTTTCTCCCATTTTCATATTTCAGAAGTTGTGATGTATTTTATGACCTTAAAAGTGGGATACATAGCATTTTAGCCAGGATTTTTTCTTTTTTTTTTTTAAATAATAAGGTACCTGGAGTAGTCAAATAAATTTGTAGAGACAGAAAGTAGAATAATGGCTGTCAGGGACGGGGCAGGGAGGAATGGGGAGTTAATATTTAATGGGTACAGAGTTTCAGTTTTGCAAGATGAAAAGAGTTCTGAGATGGATGGTGGTGATGGTTGCACAGCAGTGTGAGTGTACACTGAACTGTACACTTAAAAAATGGTCAAAATGGTAAATTTTATATGTGTATTTTACCACAATCAAAAGTTTAAAAATTAACAATGTGGTAAAAATTGATGGCACCCTTGCATTGAAGAAACACAGAATCCCAGCCAGTTCCCCCTGACATTGTACATGGGGAACTTGCCAAAATAACGGATGCAGGAGGTCCTGCGGTGTAAAAGCAGCACATGATGAAGGAGGCGGGATCACAGCTTGGAGTCACAGACGCAGGCTCTGAGGCAGCCGCCCTGAATTCTGATGTTGGCTCTGGCTCCTAGAAGCTCCTGTGATTCGGGGGATCCCCTCTCAAGCTGCTCATCTCACTTTCCTCATCTGTAAAGTGGGGGTGATGGTTTCCACCCCGCAGGATTGTGAGGATCTCGTGAGCTAATGAATGTTGAGGGCTTGTCAGTTAGCCTGACAGGGGATTAGCCAAAAAGGTGACTGAAGAGTAGATTGTAAAGAAAAGAGAAAACATTTAACAGAATCCTTTTGCAACAAGAGAAAGAGTTGAGTCCAGTATAAGGGGAGTTAGGTTACAAAACTCATACATAGTTCATTTCAATGACAAGAACACAGATGTTTCTCAGACTGTAGAAAACCTTGCATACTATTTTAGAAAACCTTGTTAGTGATGCTAGCTGTATAATTAAGATTTCATTCATGTTTGGTGATGGCCAACTTGACAGTCCATGTACTTAAGACTGATACTAATCTTCTCATTAGAGCAGCTGCGCATTTGCAGTTCTAATTATTATTTTGCCCTCTCGTGGGAGATCCCCGGGCTTTGCTGAGGATGTAGCTTATTCCTGTGCTACTAATTTCTGCTGCCTATTCATTTCATATGATCAGAAGCCAGATAAGAAAAAAGAAAATAGGAAACACTCTAACTTGAAGCCTGTTACAGTGAAGGGATAGTAAATCTTTAAGTATGAACTTGTTTTAATAGGGTACTATAGTTGTAGCCTTCTAGAAATGAACAAATTTCTTTTAAGACACACAAGTTTGTTTCCTGTGGTAAAAAACAAATCTATTGAAGATGACATATTTGTTCAATTACCAACGTAGAATTCTATTTCAGTTGTGAAATGTTATATTAATACAAGTATTAGTGCTGCAGAATTATTTGCTTTATCAAGGTTCAAGTTTAAGAGGGCAAATAGAAAAATATGTCTAATTGTTTGAGCCAAGCAAGTAGTTATCATTTACTCAAGTCTGAATTGACGAGTTGCCCTGGAGCATTCTTAACACGCTTTTTCCAGTAAATGAAGTTGAGGATCATGACCTTGATTGGCTCACGAAATCCCAAGCCTGTGATTATTTGGCAAGTTAAAATCTTGAAGCAATCCCCAAACCAGCAGAATTTACAAAAATACAGCTTTCAGCAATGTGAATGAAAATAGTGATGTTAGTAACTCCAAAATCAGGTATCATGAAATGTTCTTGACTGGCTTCTGACCTGTTAAATCACTACAGGACATTTCTATGTCATTTCCACATTAAAAAAAAATAGGTAATATTAATTCTAAATGCATCTTTAAAAATGGCCTGTGAAAATAAAAATGGTCATAAGGTAAGGAGCTCACCTTGGGGTGTGTTCCACCCCAGAGCAGGGGGCTGTTCTCTGCGAGGCCTGGGCTCTCAGCCCCACAGTCCATTCCAGCCCCACTGCCTTCTGCCCCCCGCCGCTCTCAGACCCGAGGCTCCTTTCCTGCCTGCAGGGAATGATTTCACGAGCCTTGGCAAACAAGGTGCATCTTAAGACTGTATCGGATGGGTCCTAATTGTGTGAGCTCTGCAGTGTCTTACTGAGACATCCTGGCTAAAGGTAAAGCTTTTTGCCCTCAGGCTCCTGGTAGACCCCATGAACTGTGTCCACAGACACGGAAACACATGGAGTGAGTCGGCAGAATTCTCGGTCAAGAGAAGCCAGTGCAGTGTCATAGGCGACACACGCCCTTGTAGTGAAATCCCAGGCATCTGTTAGGATTAAACGGAAGGAGATTTCCTGTTCTTTCATGAAAGCGAGTTAAGAAAGAATAAGTGGCAAGAAATACAGGGACAGCATTTTTTTCTTGATTCCTTGCTACCCTTCCCCAAGGAGAGGAGAGATTTTCTTGTTAGATCTGCATCCTGTCACTCTGGCCCTTGATAAGTATTGAATGACTGAACGAACACTGTGTGCAGCTGGAACGGGAGCTGGGCCTTAGCTTCGAGGCATTTCCTGTTCCCTATCATCCTGTAACTCAGGGGACGTCGGAGAATACTTGGGACCGGGATAGTATTATAAAGTCTCAACATGTGCCCCTCTCCCCACGGCAGAAGCTCCGGGGAGTAGGGGTGTGCGCAGAAATTAGGTGAAAAGAGGCCAGAGCCCATCTTCTGTATGCAAGGAAGGTGCCTAAAAGAACCTTTTTTAGGAGACCCTAAAGAAATCTCTGACTCACCCTGTTCTGGTCACGGTGCACAAGGAGGGGTTGCTAGCGTGTGTGTCAGCTGTACAACAGGATAGCCACTCTGCTGTGGCGGTGATGATTTG